CCCACTGTTCCTGAAGCTACAAGGCATTGCTGTGGGCTGCGTGTGGTTTTCTGGGGGGAGCCTGTATGGCAGTCATCTTCAGACCTCACTCTTGCTTCAGTACTTTTGCCTCTTTTTCATGCACACATAACACAGTAACATTGAATGCATGTTACTTTTCCTCTGCAGCTTCTTGCAGTCCTTGTGGAAAAGCCTTTAAAACAATCTTGCTACAAGTGTGTAGGGTACTGAACCTGGTGATGCTCAAGCAAGTGGTGTAAGAACCATCCTGCAGGCTGGTTTCAAACTTGTGCTTGTTATTGTAAATACTTGTTTAGCTCTGAGGGGAGGCATCAAAACTGGGTCAAAAATGCATTAAATGTCCTGGGCTGGAGGCTTTCTATGTGTGTGTAAGCCAAATGCCTCTGCTTAGTAGCAAACTCTGCACATTTCTCCTTGGATTTGCATCTCTAAACTTGTGCTTCTGTGTTCAGTGTGTTGCTGTTTGAGTTAAAAACAGTGCAGTTCTCAGCACGGTGTCTGGAAAGGAGTCTTGAAGCTTTGGCACACACTCCTGTGCACTTTGACAGCAGCAAGCCAGATACTGGTGTGAGGCAACAAAAAGGCTTGCAGTGAAAGCCCAGTAAAGGAATGAACTCCTAAAGCTTGGGACTTCTGCCACTCCCTGGATTTATGCCTCAAAAGTTACAGATTAACAGGTTTATGGAGCACATGTAACTCACAACTAAATGGAAGAAAGCCTTAGAGCTGCCTGCAAATATTTGCTGATGTAGCACAGTTAAGCTGAGAACTGTTCAAATCATGGATGTTGGTGTAGCTGAATAAGTAATGCCAACCCTGTGTAAGTACAGGAAACCTGTCTTCAAACTCCTTTATTAAGGATGCAAATGAAAGTTTAATCTGGTTTGTGAGTTGTCTTACTGTCTTAAAAAGTAATTGGCATGATTGTCTCTGACTTGATTCTAAATCTTACCTCCCAGGTAAAATATCAATACCTAATTTTTGTGGTTTTAGTTTCAGGGCCTGCCTTAGCCTGTAGCAATGCTGAGTTTCCTTGGAGCTGTTTTAGTGACAAGCAATATTTCACTACAGAATGAGTTTCTTCTCTTGCCTTTCTGTAGGGGTGGGCTAACAGCACCATTGCCCAGGCTGTGCCACAGAGGGAAGCTGGCTAGGCTTGTCTTGTGTCTGTGGATCAAGCTGGAACACGTTGAGTGTTTGTGGGTTTAGGCTGACTGCCACACAGTTCTGGAGTGGAAAAAAGCAAGTCTTATACACATGCATTCTCTGCATTTGAACTGAAATTGCATGAGTGAATGGGTTTGGAAAGTGAAATCTTGAGGCTCAAGTGACATGTCGGATGCTATTGCAGTCTGCAATTACTTTGTCTCAGTGTTTTATTCAGGGAGACTTCTCCAGGACTGGGCATTATCTGGGCAATTGCTCCAACGCCAAAGGTCTCCAGCTGATACTGTGCTAAAATCCAAGTTTGTGCCTGAAGGCTGTTGGTTTGAAGCAGTTGGAGCAGCAGTGATTGAGCTTACTGATGTCAAAGTAGCTCTAGTCCAGTGTGGGACCTTTCATACAAAGCTTCAGCCTGGAGTGAGCTTTCAAAGAGGTTCCACAAATCCCTAAATCAGGGATTTTTTTTCAGGAAATGGACAATCTTGACTGCACCAGTACCAACATTGCTACTTGAATTGATCTTAACTTGTAAATGGTCTCCTTTTCTTGATGGGTGTTAACATACCACTAAGGCTTTTCCACTTCTCTGCCATGAATTAAGTACCTCTTCTGGAGGAGTGTTTTTAATTGTTGGTCTCCATTCCAGGTGGATAAACTGGATGCATCAGAGTCTTTGAGAAAGGAGGAGGAGCAAGCTACGGAAACACAACCTATCGTTTATGGTAATGCTATTGTTCATGTGTTGGCAGTAACACATCTTGTTTCTAAAACACTTCTCTAGTCCTGGTTTTTCCCAAGGAAGTCCTTGGAAACAGGAACATTCCTCATGTGAAATCAAGTCTTGAGGGAAGGTGTTCCAAAATACTAGATAATAAAGTACAATTCTAACGCTGCTGCTAAGGTTGGAGGTGGATGCAGGATTGAAGATTGTCCTAGCTCAGACTAGGGGGTCACTGTTAAACATCCAGATACCTCCAGGGAAGCTGCAGGAATTCTCCTGCCTGAACAATCTGTACTGAGGAATAACAATGAAATTTGTCTTCCAGGTCAGCCACAGCTGATGTTGACAGCAGGACCCAGTGTGGCAGTCCCTCCACAAGCACCTTTTGGCTATGGCTACACTGCACCTCCCTATGGGCAGCCCCAGCCTGGCTTTGGGTACAGCATGTAGGATGCAGCACAGTCCCTTGGGAGCCAGTGTCTTTTCTTACTGAAACTCCACCGTCCCTCCCCGCTTTAACTCATAACAGGGAAAAGCAAAGAGTTCAGCCTCGTGTTCTTGTAACCTTTTATTTCATGAAGGACTGGTTTTTTCTAGCGCAAACTGTTTGAATCACTTCTGTTAAAATCTTTTTCACATTCCATGTCATTTAGACTTTACTTTAAAAGGGGAATAGTTTAAACAACTCTGTTCAAGTGGGCTTTTGCAGGACTGCTTCTTACCATTAAGTCTATCGTGAAGATTCTGATTTGCACTCTCTAGTGTTAAACTCTAATATTGAATCTTAAGTTCATTGTATGTGAGCAGCTTCCAGTATGTACTGTCTATTCTTAAATGCATTTAAGTCTCACTGTATATTGGGAGAAAGCTAAAGCCAAGATACTTGTATTTGACCTTGCAAGACTGCTGACCAGAGACAACACTAATCAGCATATCCTGCCCTGGATTGCATAGCTCTCAAAGAATTTACAATGCATACAGACAACCTTGCCTGACTTAAAAAGTACAAGTTTTGGGATGTTTTTTTTTTCCTTAACCTATGCAGGTTTTTCCAGTTATGCATATAGAAAATGCTAGTGTCTTTTTGCTCACTCCATATGTAACAGATGACCTTATGTTGTGCTGTATCCTGTGCTTTTGTGGGACATTCCATTCAGGAACAGAGCACCATGATTCCAATCTGTGTATTTACTAACCCTGCCCTGAGGTCTGTGTATGTTGGATATTGTGGTGTTTTAGATCACTGTTTTGAGTGTACAGAAGAGAGAATTCAAGCATATTGCTGTTCAGTTTTGTTTGTGCAATTTGAAATTACTCAATTTAAAAATAAATTACTGGACTGTGGACATGCTGCATAGTGGTAGCTTCACTTTACTGTCTTCTGAAAGGACCTTTGAACTCAAACCAAGTATTACAGTGCTAGTGGTGTGGGCCATTCAGGGGTGTCAGGGGCCACTGGAAGAGCAGCAATGGAGACCATTAGTGGTGTCTTGCACTGAGGGGGCAATACAAGGAAATGTGTAATGCTTTTTCTAGAGAGATTATGCCAGAGAGAAGAAAATAGCACTTTTCAATAGCTGGCTGCACTGAGGTCAGCTACAGCAGATTTGACCAGATGATTTGTTAGGATTGTAGTAGGGTGTGTCAGTTAAATTGAGATCATGTTCTAGGTATGTAAGTTGCCTTAAATATATTTAGCTTCAAATAAAATGGACTTAAATGTTTCTCTATGAATACTGTCATATTTGAGTGTAAAGAGTGTTAAGCACTGCCCCTTTTCCTGATAGCAGTAGAAGCTTCTGTCCACCAAGCTGTCCTCAGGGTTGGGCTCCAGCTCTGTCCTCCTGGCTCCAGTGACCTCTACAGTTGGGCTGTGGGATCCTGTCAGCAAGTGCTGCAGCAGCTCTGTGTGCAGGGATGGGTGTTGGCAGCTGGGGGATGAACCTGCCATGGGCTGTAGGTTTGTGTTCAAGAGTGGGGTGGAGCAGAGGTCTGCAGGGGTAGTGTCAATCTTGGAAAAGTGTTATGCCTAAATAAGAGATGCAGAATAAAAATGTCTCCATTCTCTGTTTGTTACACTTGCATTTCAACCCCTCTGCTCTTCCCTCAAGGTCTGCAAATTTGACTTGAGGGAGACAAATCCTTCTGTTCCTCTTTTATGTTTCACAGGAAGAGATGGCTGAGAGGCTGAGGAAGATGTGCTCCACAGTAGAATTCTTACAAGAAGTTGTGTTATAAAACTGGCTTGTATAAAGTCCATTTCATGACAAGTGCAAGGAACTTTCCTTGCTCTGTGTTGGGGCAGAATTTACCCAGAAGCCATGATCTGCATGCTCTGAACTCTGCCCAGCAACATCTGTGACAGTATCTCCTCAGACCCAAGGAGACCTGTTAATCCCAAGTAAAAAGGATTTAAGTTAGTCTCTGTACAACAACCTCTTTATATGTGGGGTAACTCCCTGCACTGGGTGTGCTGACCTCCCTACAGATCCTGCCAGGACAGGAGCTGCACAGACATCTCCAGCCAGGCGTGTGGCTCACAGCTGCTCCCCACAACTGTTACCTGGCTTTTGAGGTCAGGGCTGCAAAGCCTGTTGGACTTGGTCAGCTTCAGGGCAGTCACAGCTTATTGCATCAGCTCCTTGGTTAGAAACTGAGCAGGAAGTTGCCCACAGCTCTGTGGGATACCTTTAACTGCTTTAGCAGTTCCTCTTTTCTGAATTAAGAAAAAAAAAATGCTTCTGTGAGGCAGGAGGGGTCAAGGTATAACACAACACGAGACAAATACATTTTACTAATGCTTCAATTCAGTCAGTAAACCAAACTGCAGAATCCTCAATTAATTGCACAAGTTTTTGTATGGGTGGTTATTCCTGCCAGCCCCACTCCCACCCCACTCAGCCCAGCATTTTCTTTCCCAGTTTAAAGCACCACACAGAAGCTAAAGAAACTTAATGATTTGCAAATTCAAATCTCTTAAAAAACCTGGTTATTTTATTTATACTGAGAGAACATATGGAAATATCCCAGACTTGGGTTTTATCCCTTCAGTAGTGACATACACTAACACATCTGGATTCCTTTGGTACCTGGTTTAGAAGAGTTTCAGGTGACCAGAAACTTTATCTACTACATCAGCTGGTCCTGGTCCAATCCCAAGGACTGTCTGGGAGCCTGGAGCTATCTGAGTGCGACCTGCATCTTGGATCAGGCTCACAGTCAGTCCAAGGTGTTTAGCATCAGCCAGGAGCTGGATCAGAGTCTCTTCATCGGGAGCTTTGAGGACCACTTTAGGTTGCCCACAGTATTCCCACTGCTTCAGGAGCTCAGGATTTCTTCTCTGCACTTGCTTGTAGGCAGAAACAGCCGCGTGGGAACACTGTGCTGCGACTTTACCCTTCCCCATCTTCAAGTCATTGCGGACAACCAGCACCATCTTGAACTCCCCAGACTCCCCCACGGTGTCGGCTTCGCTGCCCAGGCTGTTGGGAAGGGCCATCACCCCGGCTCTGGGCTGCCTGAGGAGCCTCCCACGGATGCCCCATCCCAGGCACACCCCGCAGGCAACTCCAGCGATGACGCTGAGGAGCCCGGGCTTGGACAGGTAATCCATGCTGGGCTGCAGAGACCGGCTGTGAATCGGGCTGGGGGAAAACGACAAACTTAGGTCATCAAACACAGAATCCCGGATCGGGGCGTTAAAGATCATCCAGTTCCAACCCCCCTGCGTGGGCAGGGACACCTCCCAGAACAGGTTCCTCCAGGAATGACCCAGGCCTTGGGATGTCCAGACGCACCTCCCGCCTCCCCGTTCCTCGCCCCGTGAGGGGGCAAAAAACCCA